CGAATGGAGACGTTACTGGCGCCCCTCGAGGATATCGACGATCAACTGGATGACAGGTAATACAGGTGATACATACCCAGAAAAACTCAACTCAAAAGATTTATTCAGGCCAAGAAATGAAATCGAATCGTAAACATTTTCTTTAGATTATTTTTAGCAATTTTCGACGTGGATTGACTCAACAACAGTGCATGGATGAACTTAGTTCAATTTTTGGCTATTAAGGACCAGTGTACATCGATGGTATGGTGAATTCATCCAAGGTCGTAGCTCACTCCGAACCGACTTTCGTGGAGGTCGTCCAAAATCAGGTGTTGTTGCGATGCTGTGCGCAAACTAATATTGCAAGATCGTCATGTGACCTATCGCGAGATTGGGACAACTTTAGGCATTAGAGGGACCAGCATACATTTGATATTGCATGAACAATTGACTGTCAAAGAAGAATTGCTCGAAAAAAAAAACATTCACCACGACAATGCGAGCTCTCACACATCGGCTCAAACAACTGCATCTTTGAGCACTCAAAACATCGATTTGATGAGTAATCCGCCATATAGCGCGGGCTTGACACTGAATGATTTCTTTTTATTCCATTACGTAAAAAATGAGAGGTCACCGTTTTCCGATACCTGAAGGAGTGATTGATGTGTTCAGAATGCATGTTTTGGAGATACCTCAATCTGCCTTTTGGATTGAAGTATCTCAAAAACAAGTGCTTCGACTATTGGTTCAAACGCATGGAAAAGTGTATAGATCTTAATAGGGAACGTTTTGAAAAGCTATAAACAATCTTCAATGTTTAGTATTTATTTTTGTTCTCCAATCCCGAAATACAAAAGGCAACCTACGTATAAAACGGCTGTCTGTACATCTGTCTGTCTGTTTGCTTGGAAATCCATAACCTCTGTACCCGCGGATCTAGAACGTTCAAATTTGGCAGGAGCACAGGCGGCAGGATGGGAACAGATACAGTGGGTGGCAGGACCGGACTCCGCCCACAGAGGCGGGGTTTGCGCGAAATAAATGTCTCTGGAAATAGCAACTCCTGTCTCCGTGGGCCTAGAGCGTTCAAACTCAGTGGGAGTACTGGAGGCAGGATGGGAACACCTATGGAAGGTGGTAGGAAGACACGTGACATGTGGGATGTGACGAGGTCGGACTGATAACAACTGATAAGAGCTGATAAGTGGCCCCAAATAGACTCATCTTCGAAAAGGAAACCGACGAAGAAAACCAGTTCGGTGTTGAAGGTATGCAGTTTTGGCTCTTTAGTAATGTTTCATTCCATAAGACGGGATGGTAAAGTAGGGTGACTAAAAGTTAGGGGTAAGTGCAGTAATAGGGACCGATTGAAGCTTCTTTATTGTGAATAGACGAAAGTTCAGTTCATTTATTGCTGCTCCATTATGAGCGCTACCCAGCAAGATTTGTGACTCAATGAGGGATCACGGTTCCTCTCTGCTTTTATATTATTCGCTATAAAGTTTATCCAACCGCTAATAATCTGGAAGTCTCTATCAATGATATCCTTAAAGGAAAAAGTTTCATTGATATCAGCTACATATTCTTGCAGTCTTCTTCTCCTTGAGATATAAAGAGTCACTAGTCTTTTTGAAGAGACTTTGCTCATAAAGATGGTGAGCACATCCAATTGTTAGTAGCGATAGAATGAGCTCTTTTCCTTCCTAAGGAGTGAAGTTCTGTCAGCCAATTATAAAAGTAACTTCTAAGTCGAGTGCTGATTTGACTACATAATCGCAGCATTGCGTATCCAGATCAATTAACTGATTGATCAATATGATGAGCGCGTTAGCGTGCGTAGCCCAACTGGTAATAAGAATAAACGTGTGTCCGAGGATGCGCGCGGCAACTTGCGCGGCGGAATTCGTGAGGATTTGTACGATTTAACACCAACTTTCGGGGCACAAACTCGAAGTAGAGTAGTTTAGTAGGGTCAGATGATACTTCTAATCTATTCTACTTCAAATTTGGACCATAGTGATAGGCTCTAAAGTCGTTCGAATCCACATACTCCTTTAGCAGTAATAATAGCAATACTGACAATACTTCCCCCCCCCCCCCCCCCCCCCCCCCCTCCCCCTACTCGTTGCTCGGGCAGTTTCATGGGAGTGGGTTATCTTGTTCCGGAATTCACAAAAGGTGCAGTAATTTTGATGCAACTGCAGCAGTCATCAACTGCGATCATCTAAAGCTTACTTGCATATTGCACGTTCCGAAAGGAGGTGAGTGTAGCAGGCTTGGCACGCTGATCGGGCACAGAATCATATACGCCTAACCTAGTTGCTTGCTTTCCTAATTTTTCGGTGTCGCCGCCATATCGCAGGTGACGATGATTGAAGGGAGTCCGCTTCCTGCACTCAGAAAGAGGAATGTTATGGAGAACCAGAACGGAAGCAGAGGATCTCCATGCCCGAGTGCGCTAGATGAAGATCAATCTAGACCGTCGTGGAGCTAGTGATGGCCATAGAAGTTTTTCCGCATCTCACCTATGCTTTATAACTTCTTGAATTAGGTGTAAGGAACGCGGTGAATTTTCATGGACTACTACATAAAACGCGTAAGTGTCTCCGTTGGTTTGTCGCTGTGTATGTGTATTGCGGTGTGCGTGTTGTGTGTGTGGTGTTTTCTGCCGGTTATGTGTTTGACCGGAAACTCATAACTTTTGCTCCCTTGAACGAGAGATTATAGCCGGCATGATCGGAACCCTGATGTATGGTGGCAGGAGTGACTGAAGTGCACTCCACCACGGGAAGATTGGAAGAGAGCGGAACGGGCGCAAATGAGCGTAACCCTAAAACGTACGTACGCAGACGTGTTGGAATAAGTAAAAAATAAATGAGGTTACTTAAACACATACGACTTGGTTTGCACTCCACTCCGGGCGAGCTGCCCTCAAAGTGTGTCGGTTGCGTGCGCGCAACAGGAAAACATAATTCCCATTCTACTATACCCAGATCCCCTAAATCTGGCGTACAGTCAGCCAGGCGAACTTCAGCCCAAACCCGAGCAAAGCCCGGCGTGAACGGACGGCACTGAGACATGAGAAAACCATGGTCTGTGAAAGTAATAATTGGGCCTCAGTTGCGCTTGAACTCTGTCGAGCTATCTAGTTTTCATCGATGACTTTTCTCTGGAATTACAAGGAAGAACCTCTGAGTAGGTAGTATAATCTTCAGCGCTTGCATAACTGCTAATAAGTATATAATAGAAAATGTTTTCAATGTATCCTAGCCGAGACCTACCGAAGAGTTACATTATTAAAGGTGATAAGGTGTTCACAAGCTCCAACATGAAGGTATAGATATGGCGCCCCAAGACGACACTTCAGGTCAACGATCCTGAATAGCTATCTTACAGTGAGTAAGACAAGAAATGAGAAATCAGTTTAGTTTCTTCCAGCGCTAAAAGGAATCTGAATGGAAAATACTTCAAATATGAAAGAGGAAAGGGAGAAGCTAATCTCCGCTCAAGAGTTATAAAAAAGAAAATATATGATTACGTGTAATTGTAAAAACTACCCAGAAATTGAGCAACGTGACTGACTGCTCCTCCACATTCATTCATTCATATAATTTCATATATATGACTCGGAAAAGGGAAAGGGAGGAACGAGAAAGTTTGAGGATATACAGTAAATAAATGATAAAAGGTAGCTGTAGACTATTGAATGGATACAAGGTAGTGAATAACCACTACGAGTGATGCATTCTTCTCCGTATTGTAATGTTCTTGCTACGACAACGGAATGTTCCTAGCCCCAGTCGATGATCACCACACGTATATTGAAGGGAGTGTTTCAATGAATTCGAGTGGGGCACCTACTATTCTATGGGAATTCTAGAATAACTTCAAGGATTTGTAGATTTTTCACCTCACCTTCTATTTCATAACACTTTTCTCGGAAGTCGACGAAACTTCCGTTCTATAACCAGGTAGGCGAAAGTGCTGCTGGTCATGAGCAGGATTGTTACTTTTGAATACTTGGCCATGAGATGCCTTTCAGTGGAGTTCTTGAGTTTGGTTTTGAGCCACCATGTCGAATTAATGTCAGGAAATAAGTAAATAGTAAGAAACCCATTCATTATACTGAATTGTTCAGTATTCTTCTTACATAATAAGTTGTTCTGCACAATCACTTAATTTTCATCGCACTACAAGATAAACCTTGCTCTTCGAGGGTTCATTGATGGTGTTAACTGAGTAATCCGGAAGGTTCCCATAATCGAGTGAATCATGCTGTTTATATAGCTTAACACGTCTCTTATTAGCTCTGTATCGCAATCGACCGGCGTATGTTGACATCTTATCAGATTGTTCCCATGTTCGATGTTGTTCATGCCAACGCTGTTATATATAAATGAGATGCGGTGAGTGAAAGAAAGCTTTTCTTTTTTCTCTCGTTCCCCTTTGGAATTATCTTACAATTCACATTGACGTGATTACTCGAATCACTTTAGGTAAATGCGCCATAAGTGGTCTTATATCAAGCACTACAAGCACTATAGACGTTATTTTATTTGTGGTATGCACGATATTTTCAACAGCGGCTCAAACCGAAAGGTGGCTTTATTTACACTTTTAATATATTTATGGCTTTGAGGATATTCGTGTGTTTTAGTATTATAGTTATTATAGTCGTTAGCGTATATTAGTTACTTAGTTGTTAGTAATAGATGGAAGTTTAATTACCCAAATTTGAGGTTGAATATTTCGTTACCCGCGTGGCATAATGGAAAATCGTAGCGACTATTGATCACCGAATATTTTTCCTCAAGTGGTGCATCGGCCGCTTTTTTTTTTTTGGTGGATCATATACTCTTGGAAGGTGCAAACTTTCTTCTAATTTGCCGTCTTTACGCTACACGAAGCCGAGAATTTCTTTTTGCGACGCAAAGTCGGATCTTTGAATCGATTTTCTTTTTCGGTCTTCATTGCGGACTTTTGAATACAGAGAGAAGAGGGATTTGAAGTGATTCAAAAGCACTATAACCCTTCCCTTTTTTCGTAATCTGCGCTGTTGAGTGCAGTTTTTCATGTGGTTATCTCAGATTCAGTATTGTACTAACAATACTAACCCAAGGATAACGCTAACGGAGCATTAAATTGTCAGCCGACATACCTAACACACCTTCTCGACGAGATGTTCGCCATTATATAAACACAAGGGAGTCTTCTAACTAAACTAGTCCAGTCCATAAAGGAATAGTTGGAAGAAAGCGAGGTTTTTCTGAGACCACTCCAGGACACTGACAAGAAGAGAACGGTCAACAAACGTCGTCTAGCCATACGCACATGTGACGACCATGTTGCACTTGACGAATCTTCGTTCAATAAACTCGCCGGATCACTCGAAAACCTTGAGGATCGAACAGATGAAGATGACACCCAGTCCGACAAGTTCATACACAAAGCACATAGTATCATTATGATGCTGCATGGTCGCAAGAAAAACCTTCTTTATGCTCTGACGATCTCATAGAATCGCTGGAGTATGACCATAAAGAACAACAGGAAACAAAGCCAATGAACTTCCTGTCCATAGCCAAACTTCCCCCTATTGCCATACCCTTTCTTCAGCGGTGGGAATGGGAAAACTTTTGAGCTCTTTTCGGAGAAAATGTCCACGAGTAGGACTTGAAAATTGGCAGAAATTCAAATATCTGCTGTCATCCGTTACTAGGAAAGGGAAGCAATCAGTATCAAGGTTCCAAGTCAGTGCGGGTAATCATAAACAGGCTCTAGAACATCTGAATAATCGATACAGTCGGAGGACGGCGTTATTCGTGACCTACCCATGGCACTGAAATCTTGCGTGGCTCGCAGTCCACGCACGGAAGACCAACACCAGCGCCAGAAAGTGTCGGTAATAGCTATTCAACTCAAGCAGAACGGGGAGCACGTAGACACACATTTAATGATCTACACGTTTCTGCAAAAGTTTCACATCAGAATTCAGAAGGCAGCCATGAAGAGGCGAATTCAGAGTGAAGCAATACGCGGAGCCGCAGAGCGGCACAAACAGAGTGGACGTTATGGCAGTGGCTGGGGGCAATAGAAGGAGTCATTTCTCAAGAGAAGTTGAAGGAAATGATAACCGACGACCTGGAAAAGGTCGACACCCGCCAACAACCAAATAGAGGGAGAGGTAGAACTTAGAACCCATTGTGATGTAAAAATTGTAAACAGAAGGGACATAAGTGGGACGCCTGCCCTTGATTCCCTACACGGTACACGAGACCTGTTGTTCCTCCTGGTCAGAGCTTGTGAAGGAAAGCCACTGGACTACCTTGGAAAACAGATGGTCAACAGGACGACAGGTTATCAAGTCGAATTACACGGTCGACCTGCCACTTTCATTTTCAGATTTGCTGATCAGTTTCTGAACCCAAATTTGTAAGTTGATTCTTCCCCCTATCTAAATGATAGATAGGTAAATGACTTCAAGGCACAAACGCTTGGCTGCTCCCTCTTTTGCCCTTGATCTTCACCATAATCATCCATCGGAGAGCTTAGCGTTCCCCTTGCTGGGTCTACTAGAGCTTCGGCGTTTCTGCAACTGGCCGAAGTCTCAAATGATACTTACTAATGTGGTTGATCGATGAAAACTTTTAAAGGTACATGTTTACAGCTCTCCTTATATTCACCAGTTCACGGGCCAAGTTTTCCAGATCACTGATTGTCAGATAGGCTTCGTGGCAGCTGTAACAGCTGGAATCAAAGGACACCAGTCACGCCAGGCTTCCCTCCTTCTAATGGTGACGCCCGGCTTCGCCGGGCGAACCTCCTTCCTGTAAGAAATTTGCTATGCGTAAACTCTTCGGATTCTCCTTTTTCCTTGGAAGCTCTACACCCTCAGTATTAGCTCCGAATNGCTGTGTCCGGTAAGAACATCGTATAATATCACAAGGGCGATTATTCAGAGAATAAAAGGATAGATGAGCCGAGGAAGCGTACCTCCGTGAGGTTTTCGTGCAATTGCAATACTTTGAACGCCCTATGGCCAAATTGTCAATTTTCGGGGTCTGGTCCTGCCACCTACAGTGAGGGTTCCCATCTTGTTCCCATAACTCCTACCAAGTTTGAGTGCTCCAGGATCACAGGGACGGGAGTTGTGAATTTTCGCTCAAACCCCGCCCATTGTGGGCGGAGTCTGGTCCTGCCACCCACCATTAGTGTTCCTATCTTGCCGCCCGTACTCCTACCGAGTTTGTGTGCTCTAGGATCACGGGGACATAAGTTCTGAATTTTGCTCAGACATTTATTTCTCACAAACCCCGCCCCTTTTGGGCGGAGTCCGGTCCTGCCACCTACTAAAAGTGTTCCCATCCTGCCTCCTGTACTCCTACCAAATTTGAACGCTTTCGGTTCACGGGGACAGGAGTTATGAATTTCCGGTCAGACACACACACATACACATACACACACAAACACACCAACAGACACACTTAGCCGATTACAAGTAGGATCGTGCTTCTTTATTAAGTTGCAAACGTTCATTCGCAGATCTAGTAGCAAGAAATGAAAAGTTTTTAAGAGTGATACCTCACTTTCATCGCTTCTTATCCTACTTATATAATCGGGTAAGTGTCTGTTGGTGTGTTTGTGTGTGCGTATGTGTGTGTGTGTGTCTGACCGGAAATTCATAACTCCTGTCCCCACGGAGCGAAAGCGTTCAAATTTGGTAGGAGCATAGGCGGCAGGATGGGAACACTTTTAGTGGGTGGCAGGATCAGACTCCGCCTAAATGGGGCGGGGTTTATGAGAAATAAATGTTTGAGCGAAAGTTCAGAACTCTTGTCCCCGTGATCCTAGAGCACTCAATCGTAGTAGGAGAACGGGCGGCGGATAGGAACACTAACGGTGGATGCAGGACCGGACTCCGCCCACGATGGGCTTAGTTTGGGCAAGAATTCATAACCTTTCTCCCCGTCGACCTAGAACATTCAAAATTGGTAGGAATTATGAGAACAGGATGGGAACACTAATGGTGGGTGGCAGGACCAGGCTCCGCCTACAGTGGGCTGAGTTCGAGCAAAAATTCATAACCTCTGCTCCCGTGCACCTAGAGCGTTCAAATTCAGTAGATCAGGCGGCAGGATGGAAACACTTATGATGAGCAGCAGGACCAGAGTCCGCCCACAATGGGCGGAGTTTGAGCAAAAATTCATAACTTCTGTCCCCGTGGACTTAGAACATTCAAATTTGGTCGAAGTTATGGGAAAAGGATGGGAACACTAACTGTAGGTGGCAGGGCCGGACCCCGCCAACAGGGGGCAGGGTTTGCGCGAAAATTGACAATTTGGCCATAGGGCGTTCAAACTTGGTAGGAGTACAGGTGACAGGATAAGAATACTTAGTATAGGTGGCAGGAAAAGACCTTGCCCTTAGGGGCGGGGCTTGCGCGAAAATTGACAATTTGGACATAATGCGTTCGAAGTACTCTTATTGCAGGAAAATTCCATGGAGGTACGTTTCCTTAGCCCATCTGTCCTTTTATTCTCTGAATAATCGCCCTTGTGATATTATACGATGTTCTTACCGGACACAGCGAAGATTGCTTACAGAAAAAATCGCTCCCAATCCGGAGCTAATACTGAGGGTGTACAGCTGTCAAGAAAAAAGGAGAATCCGAAGAGTTATTGCGCTTAGCAGATTTCTTACAAGAAGGAGGACCGCTTGGCGAAGCCGGGCGACACCAATAGAAGGAGGGAGCCCGGCGTTAGGGAAGCGGCCCGACTGGTCTTTGTATATGTCACTTGCTTTTTGTCCACATATCCTATCATCCTGTCGCAATCTATGAAATGTCAAAACTTTGAGGTAATGTAACGCGTGTGTGTACATATACTAAAGGACTTATAGGGTCATTTAACAGCCTTTATCAGCTTTTAACATTTTCAGTAATCCGTTAACTGCGGTCCAGTCACACCCTATGAAATACATCGAAGGCACAGTCCACGATAAAAATGGTAACGAGATTTCCCCATAGGATGAATTCAAGGTCCTCCCATATCTGGCGCTATCAGGTAGTGAAACGACCTATTTAGTTAGTAATGAAAACTCAAAGATTGTACCTCGTGTCCTCGGACAAGTTTCACCGCCACTGTAGAGGCTGCACCGATCACAAGGGAAACAACGTAATAAAATCAAACAACCTGTAATGACCAACTGCGACAGTAAAAGGCAGTCCTGCACAGTTTTGATTTGATGCCTTGCGCAAGTGCAACGGCTGAACACATGTTATGTTACCATGTCATTTCCATCATGGTAATCTCGTACAGGCCCTATTTTCTCTGCGTCTAGGTAAGGGATCTTTTTTCTCGAAATCGGCGAACTTTTTTTGCTTTCTTCACTACTGATAAACTAACCCCAACCTATACATTCATTTTTCGATCGAAAAAATGTACCTCAAAGTCATGCCGAACTGTGCCTTTGAAGTTGCAATACTTCGCAGCCATGAGAGAAAAAGAACGTAATAACAATCAGCCCTTATCACTTGCTGCTAGCTCCTGTCACCTAGTATCTAGGATCCCCTCACACTTCACATCATCCAGCAAAGTGCCTAAGCTACATAGGTCACAAAAGGAGCACTCAGTAGTTCTTTCCTTCTCTAGCTCGTTATCATATCGCGCACTAGCTATCAATCTTAGTCACCGACCACCTATGATTTGTGCACCCCGCATCACCTCCCAAAGCTCCAGGGTTTCACAATTCTTATGAAGAGTGCAACAAATCCTGTTATCAATCCTATTACCATTTATTACCATCTTACTACTACCACTATCATTGTTCCCACCCTACCACCCTAAACCTCTTCCGAATTTCTCGAAAAGAGCACGGCATGATAAGAAAAATTTAATGGATGCTAGACTAGCTTGAACAAAGCACGGTACTGCCCACGATGTTGAACAAAGCACGGTACTGCCCACGATGCTACGCGACTTGTTCAAACAAGCTCAGCACTCCTTGGGCCTCTAATATTTCTCCCGACTTCTTTCCGATCTCTAGTACTGAAGGTTATCCCATTCTCACATGAACTGAACAAAAACTTATGTAACGGTATCCCCATTTTGGAACGTGCTCAGCGAAATCTGCTCCTTGCTTAGGTAAATGCCCCCTAAAATGAATAAAATTTTGTGGTTTCCAGAACTCTTAAGAAGAAGAATTTTGTTCTTCGCTCATTTGATCTACGCCAAATAAGTTAACTTATGCAATAAAGGGAATCTGATTAAAAAATACGCGGGTAAAAATTAAAATAAAAATGAAAATAAAACTTAGAATGCTAAACTTACCTCGTAGTGTTCATGTCAGCAACCTCTGTTTTTCCCAGACCTCGTTCCAGAGCCCACGAACGTACCTCACTAAGTGATGATAAACAGTAGAAAAAACAAAAGCTCTGTACAAAATGCAAAATACTGTACTAGATGTTCTGCAAGTCATTCGTATCCCAGATCTCAACCTATAAAAATTTCTAATTCTGATTGATAGTGAATTGGACAGTCAAAAAACAATAATAAGATCTTAAGAAAGTCTCTGGATCCACGAATATTTACATAAACATAGCAATACAGCTACTATCCCACATCTGAAGAGCTACTTTTCAATTATAGATTTTTCCCGTTCTAACGCATAACGAACGACGCAATCATATTAAAGCCAAGTCGGATTTCATACTATATTTAGCTCAACGTTGTTTAGTCAGAATAAAGCACCTGGTTATGTCATAGGATGTCCTTGCCTCAACATCGACGTAAAATGTGTCGTGGAAAAAAAAGTACGAGGAAGGATATCGATTCTAAATGGAAGAAATATGGCTTTCCAATCAATAGCAAATGGATTACAATCATGGGCTACCTTACAGAGGTCTTCATTGGAAACAGGTCGCTCACTTACATCTTCGAACACGTGATTATCTGATGGACACTCAATGGCGTTCTTCAACTCTTTGAGCGTGTTCGAACCCAGGATCAAAAATCGATCCAGAACTTTCAACTAAATCATGGTGAAACATGATGATGGGCAAGTATGCCTATTTGAATACACTTTCATGATAAGCAAAAAATATGTTTCCAGTGTGAGTTACTTTCTTGCTTCCGCATTTGTTGGTGTAATAGCTTCGTTGAACTTGAGCCAACGTTCTGTAACAATCTGTCTTACAGGAGCTGCTCTCAATCATCCCTCAACATAGCAGTTGCCGGAAAGAAGAAAATTCCGACGTTATGTCAACAGTGAAAACCGAAGAAACCGACGACCCATCTCTTGCAACAACTTTGTAATCTGCCGCTCCGATGACCATCGAATTAATTGAATTGAGGTCACGACCACTACCGCCTTACTCGTTTCAATCCACGGTAAATCGTCGTTCTGCTGCGAGCTACAGCAGTTGAGTGAACTTTCAATGCGGATGATACGCGCCACTCCTTTTGTTCGAAGCTCTTCTCTGAAGAAGCCTCCCGATTAGAGCCCGTCGTCGCGGGTTCGATTCAGAAACGAAGATGTCGGTGACCGTCCCGATCCAGTGGTCATCACAAAATCGCATAACTTCATGGCCCACCTAATCTACGATTCCTTGACGTATTCCAGGTTTTAATCTTAAACTTGTTGACGGAACCGGATATCTGGATTCCTTCTCGCAGTTTCTGTGTCGACCGACTCCGAGTAGAAACTTTGGAAGAGTGCGTGGAATGGTGCCAACTGCATACACATCCTACCTCCGCATATTCCAGATCTCTTAGACATAATTCAAAAAAGAAAGAAATATAAGCACGTAGCTGAACGTTCTCCCAAACCTTCTTATTTCCTCGACCAGTCGGCTCGCCCGGCTAACGCAGGTCTCCCCTCCTCCTTATGACAGAGTTGTAATGTTCGACAAAGCGGCTGCTCTTTGTTTGTAACAAATAGGTATAGGTATAGGTTTATTGCGAGTGCACACCGGAAACTCAAAAATGATTTCCACTCAAACAAAAATAGTTAAGTTACCTAAATTCTGACATTAATAGATTGAGAAATTTGTAGGAGCCAACATTTCTCGTTAAACGATCAAGGAGTGAGTCATCTGACAGTTCGCAGCTAAGTTGCGAGCTCACAGGAGTTCGCGGAGAAACCAGGCAGCGAGGGAGCAACATCGGACCGACGGCGAGGAGGAGCCGAGAGAGGTCATTGAAGGACGAGTGGAGTCCGACAGCCTCGGGGCCCCTGAACGCACCCCTGTCCGACAGATTATTATTGTGCTGTACTGTATTATTCCCGGTAGCTATAGTAACAAACCGTTAGCTGTGTTAGTGTGGAACAGTACACTCGCACGGGCCGCGGTAGCTAGCTGTAACAGCTAGCTATAACTATTTATAGTTTAGTTGCCAGTCTCAGAAAACGCTGGTATTCTGCATCATATTAACAGCATTTTGGCAACCCCGTGTCTAAATTGAGCTGAAGATTTGTTTAATAGTATACATTTTGGAAGCATAAAACAATGACTTTCAGGTGTGAACGGGCATTTGGCTCGCAAGGTAGTTTTGGGCTGGCTGAGAGAACTCATGCTGAATCTATTTGCTCTCGAAGGCATTATTGCACTATATTTATGAATAATTTTACTCGAACTGCTAATTCGACTAGGTGGTTTCCTCTTTGACAGAATACCGAGAGCTGCAACTAACAGGTATCTGGAATATCACCTCTTCAATCTAGACGTAAAATTTTCGATCTTCGTTTAGTTAACAAGATGATATAGGGGCAATACCTTTCAAGCCAAAAGTTGCTCGTTCAGAGCTGGGAAGTTATTTGAAGCTTTCAAAAAGGAACCATCAAACATATCTTCAGCTTGATGTAGACCGTGTTGCTACAGTGCTGCTAAGATCTTTACACACATACAAACTTACATACACACCACACTCATACACCATACACACATAACAAATGACACCTTTCGAAACACGCAACTTCAGAGAGGACTAACATGGCATGCAGGGACTGAAATGTGCCTTTGTTTACGCTTATGATTAGAAGTCTCGATCTGTTGCTGTTCAACATAAACTAATGAGCAGTTGAAAGTTCAACTTGCGGGCAAACAAAGCTTGGAACGCACAAATGTTGTCCGGTCATAATAACACCATTATCAAATGCCATTATCAATAAAGCTTCCTTCTTCTGCGCATATATCAATAGATAAGAATCCAAGATTATTAGCGGTCGGATATGTTTTGCCAAAAATGATATCGGAGCGAAGAGAAATCGTGATTGTTCACTGAGTTACGAACTTTGCTTGGTTGCGGTCCGTAATCTAATAGCAAGAAGTGAACCAAGCTTCATCTCCATACAATTTAGTGCCTTTATTCGATTCCTATCAATACAATTACTCTTCTCATCGAATGAAGTATCAAGGAGTCAAAGATCGTAAATACCAAAGGCGTTAAGATTTGATTGGTGAGTGGTTCTTACTCTCTAAGGCCTCTTCTATCTTGCGCAAGCCCCGCCCCCGGTAAGCAGAGCCCGGCCCCCCCACCCACTATTAGTGTTCCTATTCTGTTTCCTGCACTCCTACCAAGTTTGAACGCTTTAGGTACAAGGGGACAAGAGTTATGAATTTCCGGTCGGGCCAACACACACACTTGCAACACACGCACACACAGACACATTGGCGTTAATATATATATATATATATATATATATATATATATATATCACCCAATATCTTTCAGATGGAGGAGGCTCATTCAAAGCCACTTGCAGTCATTGACGCGCGAGAGGTGGAAGGGCATTATGAAATCTCTTGGGATTCTTAGAATAACCGCATTGATTGTATCAGAGACAAACCAGGAAAGGTGGAAAGGCCAGTGTTTC